TGGTTAAAATGAGACAGGAATGATGGGAATGAAAATTAAGCAGAAAGAAATGATGATGAAATGTTTTGTTTTTAAAGTAGTAAGCCAATAAACAAATGCAAAACACGCTAGAGGAACTAAACTTTAAAAAAGTGAGGCTCCAAACAAGTAAATCAAGACTCAATCTGGCTTTCCATCTATGAGCTTGCAATTTGAGAGACCTGTTGAATAAATAGTATTTAAAGGATGTGTGAGTACATGTATGTGTGGACACACACACACACAAACACACACACATACCCACCTCAATGGTATATTTGAATCTGAAAATAGCTTAGCCTAATCATGAGGGTTTTCTTAATTTTTAAAAAAAGAAAAAGAAGGAAGATTAAAAATACACTCTTGTTTGACATATGGTTTAAAGATGGAGATAGGGAAAGACACTACAGGTAGTCCTCGACTTACAACCATTCATTTAATGACCACTCAAAGTTATGATGGTGCTGAAAAAAGTGACTTATGACCACTCCTCGACTTATGACCGTTGCAGCGTCCCTGTAGTCACGTGATCAAAATTCAGGCACTTGGCAACTGGCATATATTTATGACAGTTGCAGCATCCTGGGGTCACATGATTGTCATTTGCAACCTTCCCAGGGGGCTTCTGCCAAGCAAAGTCAATGGAGGAAGCCAGATTTGCTTAACAACCTTGCGATTTGCTTAACGACCATGGCAAAAAAGGTCATAAAATTGAGCAGAACTCACTTAATGACTGCATCGCTTAGCAATGGAAGTTATGGTCCTAACTGTGGTCGTAAGTTGAGGACTACCTGTAGTATATGTGGTTAAAAGGATTGAAATTTACACTATCTTATGAACTCAAACAGAATTTTTATAAAAAGATGTATCATTGGTACATGACACCAGAGAAATTATCTAGAATGTATAAAGGCCCTTCAAATATATGTTGGAAATGTGCACATGAAGGGACATTTTATCATGCTTGGTGGACATACAGAAAAGCTAGAAAATTTTGGATTCAAATGCATACTTTGATACAGAGTATTGTAAAGATCAATATTCAATTGAAGCCAGAACTTCTCCTTTTAAGATTAATGGATAAAAAGTTAGAAAAAAAACATGGAAAATTGTTTCTATATATGATTACTGTGGCGAGATTACTATATGCACAGAGATGGAAAGATTCGACACTACCCACTATGGAGGAATGGTTGGTGAAGTTAACAGATTTTGCTGAAATGGATAAATTGACTTCTTTGATTACAGAAAAGATATTATCTACATTTACTGATGACTGGAAACCTCTTATGGACTTTTTGCATAAAAATAAAAAAAACGAACTTGCGATTTATGGTTTTGATGATTAGATAGGATATAGAAAGAAAAGTATTATATAACTTTAGAGAGAGAGATTAAAATATATTTGTACTTATAACTGCTGTGAAGAATATCAGAAGCTACTTCTTTATATCTTTTTTCTTTCTTTTCTATTTTTCAAAAGTCCTCATTTAGCAACCACAATTGGGACTGACAACTTGGTTGTTAAGCGAAGCAGTTGCTAAGGGAAACCACAACTGTCCTTATGATCTTACTTCAGCTTTTCTTTGCTTTGCAGATCTGTGAAGGTCATAAATGCGAGGATTGGTCGTAAAGTTACTTTTTCATCATTGTTATAACTGTGAACAGTTACTAAACAAGGCAGTCGCTAAAAAAGGACTACCTGTATTATCTCCTGTAAGAGGGCAAAAGGTCTTTTGGTATCTGCTGCTGGAGTACATGAATGGAAGATACTATTGTGTATTGCTTATGGGCTTCCAACTGGCATCTGATTTGCCAGTGTGGAAACAGAATACGGAACTCTGATCTTACCAAATATGGGTTTTCATAAGTTGAGACTCCCTTCTTCCCATGATTTCCAAATCTACAAAACAGCCAACTTTCAGCTAAGTTTTAGAGTCAGTTTCTAGCAAAACACAATACGTTCACCTCTCACTTGCTATGATTACTTTAGTCACATGACCAAGTTTTATCATAAAGAAAATAAAAAGCAGAAAGAAAGCTGAGGATTGATTATCAGGAGACTGGAAGTAAATATCTATAATATTGGGAGAAGCTCACTTACTTCAAAAGTAAGCTAACAAGAAGTACATGTTTACACCTCAGCAAAAGAGACAGGATATGATTCCCACTAGAGCTGGAACAGGTGTTATTCATTCTTCCTACGCATACTAATGCCCCATTCCCTTTTGAGATATCAAAGTGAAGTAACAGCTCAACCACAACACTCTTTTTCATTCAAACAGAAAAATGCAAAATATATGTTAATGTGATAGAAACAAAGCCTCTCAGATACTGTTTCATTAGTCATTATTTTCACTGTCATTTGCAGAAGAAAAGAATACCAAAACAAATAATGTGTTAGTGTAAAATCTGTTGTTTCAAAAGAACAAATGGAGCATTAATTTATACATGCTGATATATTATATTTGTCAACAAAAACAAAAGTAGATAAACACATCCACTACAAAAACAAAAGCCATCTTGACTAATTAAGCACTTTACATTTTTTCAGCAAAATGTACTTCTAAAAGAAGACAAACCACTGTCAGATTCATTCAGATTTATAAAGACAATATCTGAAATATGCTTTTATTACAGCACTTTAAATAAAGCATGCCAAATGGCAAATATATGTAATAAGTAAAATTCATCTGAAATGCTTATGCTAATCACCACGGAAATCATATATACACTGTTATTCTTAGGATAACCTTATAATTACATATATGACTGAGGTTAGCTTATGTAATTATACGTGCTCAAATAGACTCAGTTTAAATTCCAATTCTGAACAAAACAATAACTTTGGTACATTCTTATATTTGTTTCATAATTTTGTTTTTAAGTACAATTTATTATGCACTGATTAATTTTTTTTTAGATACAAGAGATCTAGGCTTAAAATTCCCAAAAGGACTTTCGTTTACTAGCTGATATCCCTATCCTGTTACTCTGAAAAACAAAGATGTGTTGATCTTGAGAAGATATTCAACTTTCTCCCCCATGTCATTTCCCTGACATAAACACAAACACATGTTTAACCACTCAGAGATGCTGACAGCTCTCAGGAGTAAAGAACCAAAAACACAATCTATATTTGAGTATTTTATTCATTTAGAAATAACATTATTCATATACTAATTATCGATATCATTTGTCTAACATCCCGGTTTATAGAACTATTCTGTCAGGTGCGATAGCCATTATACACATTATTTTCCCCAAATTGCTGCTGTTCTTATGGGCTAACACTGCAATCTATAATCCTCAAAAAGGTGGACAAAAATATTTTGGGAACTGTAATGAGAAGCTACAGTGCATTTGGAAAGTATCCAGACCCCCTTCACTTTTTTCAATTTTGTTATGTTGCAGCCTG